CCACTCGCTTACCGGAGTGCTCTGCTGGTGCCACCGGGCTGTGCCTTGCGCAAGGAGGAGTGATCTGTGCCCGGGAGCGATGTGGTTGGGAGCGCGGGGAGGAAGGCTGCCGCTGTGCTGCCCAAAAAAGTGGTGTCATGTGGCTATCAGAGCAGCAGCAGTTGTGTTTAGTGCTGGTTACGGAATGCAGGCGTTTTGTAGATGTTAAAATTGTTTGCCGTGAGCCTCAGTTCTCCTCTGTGTACATATATATGTAAAAATATTACCTGAATATGGAATTATACTGCCCAGGTGAGCTCAGCAATGAAAGAAGACATTGTACTTATTTCATTATCTGAGTTTAAATACTGTGACAACCTCTTTAATGAAAGCAAAACAGAATCTTTTTTTTTTTTTTTCTTTCTATCAGGTGCAGACATTGCTTCAGCAAATGCAGGACAAATTTCAAACCATGTCTGACCAAATAATTGGAAGAAATATCCTTTTTTTTTAAAGTTAGATAGATACTATATACAGATGCACAGGTATTTTTAGGTATATTTACCAGTGGGATTTGGAAGATAAGTGACCAAAAGTGTTTGAGCAAAGTTGTAATAAAAAACCCAAAACAACAATAACAAAAAAAAAATCCTAAAAAATAACCCAAGCACTACTAGTTGCAGTCGTGGTCCTTAACTCTGTCGAACTTGATGACATGAGCTGCCGCATCGATGACCTGGAGAAGAACATAGCAGACCTCATGACACAAGCAGGAGTGGAAGAACTGGAAGGCGAGAGCAAGACTCCTGCTACTAACAAGAGCTAAAGTGAGACAATTGCTTGCTAGCCTGGAAACAAATCCTCAGACCACTTGAAATTACTGGCTTTAATGCAGATAGCCTTTTTCCTTTGATTTGTCAGGTAGTCTGAAATTCATGCAGACCAGCGCTTGTGTGTAAGACAAGAAGTTTTAAGCTCTCCTCAGCAGGCTGCTACTGACCTCTTCTCCAAGGGTGTTTTCCTTGCCAATATTGAGAAGAGGGTTATTTAGAATCATAGAATCACAGAATGGTTAGGGTTGGAAGGGACCTCAAAGATCATCTAGTTCCAACTCCCCTGCCATGGGCAGGGACACCCTCCACTACACCAGGTTGCTCAAAGCCTCATCCAACCTGGCCTTGAACACTTCCAGGGATGGGGCAGCCACAGCTTCTCTGGGCAACCTGTGCCAGTGCCTCAGGGAAGTTGTAGATTTTCTTTATGCCTAGTTAGTTTTGAGGAAATGCAAAAGCTGTATTCATCTTCTATTCCACACTCACTCTGGTACTCTGAAATAATGACTATCATTGCAGCAGGGGAAGAGATGGGAAAAATATCAGTAGCAAAGCGAGCTGTTCCCTTCTGTCATCATGTCTGAGCCTTCTGGAAAGGACCATGATCTCATGCCATGTCCCTCATGCTGCTCTTCCATCTTTGCTGCATCCTGTGCACTTCAGCTCCCACTGAGCTTCTGAAGACTGCAGACTTGCTGCTGTGCACAGGGGCCAGGAGTGAGTTACTGTCCATCAGCTGTAAATTCCTCCTGAGTAAGTTAGGAGCTTGCTGGGAGTGTGTGACTTGCACATACCACTGCGAGCAGCAGGTCCTGAGTGTGAGACAACACTCAGGCATGAGGCGAGGCATAGGCTGGGGCAACACTCCCTGGAGAATGTCTTACTGAAAGGTGAATGTGATATTATGTATTCTTCTCACGTAATTTCTGAGTTGATAACCTGCCCCCATATTACACAAAACATTGGAGAAGTAGATGTTTCAACTGCCTGGCAAGCAGCAGTGCAAATTCTGGTGCAGAACCATGTAAATATGTTCATGCGATCGAGTCATAGAATCATCTGGTTGGAAGAGACCTTCAAGATCATGGAGTCCAACCATTCACCCTGCACTGTCGGGGTCCCTAAACCATGTTGCTCAGCACCAAATCTACATGGTTTTTAAACACCTCCAGGGATGGGGACTCCACCACCTCCCTGGGCAGCCTGTTCCAATACTTCACAACCCTCTCTGGAAAGTCATACTGCACACAGCATTCACAACGATTGCTGAAGGCAGTTCAGGGGATGGGGGCGGTGCAGGAGTGCCCGAACTGCCACAGCATAAACAAGGGGAGTGTGTGGTGCTAGATTAGAATGTGAGCACTGAGGTTTCACTTCAGGTCATGTAGAGCTTGATTTTTGTAATCCATGGAAGGCAACTGGTGAATAAAGTACTGGATGTAGCATGTTAAATTAACTTTTTTTCTAAGGTGGCTAAGTGAGACACGTCTCAGCTTCTCCTAGGCTTGAAATTCTGGGGTCACCTCTAGAATACTGTGCACCCTGTGTAATAGGTGTGTGTGTTTGAAACAGGTGTGCATCTTGCTTGTTAAGCTACCTACTTCTTGTGATACTTGGGTAGAAATACAAATTATTGTGGGGTTCATTGCCCTCAGTGCCAGCTCCCTTAGCCTGAACCTACAAAAACAAAAGTTTCTGATAAGCATGATTGCCTTAATTCTTTTCAGTAACATTTTATTTTTTGTTATTATTTTTCCCCAACAGGTTGCCCAGAAACTGAAGATGAATCCTGGAAGACTTTTTTTTCTACAAATGCTTGGAATTACAGAACAGCTTTTTGCAACTACTGTGTGTAAAAGCATTTTTATATTGTTACAGAGCTTGCATTCCTAATGTATATTGTATAGTTAGGGGTAGGTTAGTTTATATTTTGATTTGTGTACTGTAATTTCCCTTTTTGAATTCTTGTTACAAGGATCAATTAGTTGTGTTATTAAAACACAGATCTTACGGATCTCAACTACTGGGTGTATTTTTTTGTGAAGTCACTTTTTTCTCTTGTACCTTTTCTAGACGTTCCATTTTTGATAGCTAACCGTCTAGTGACTCCCAGTAAATGGAAACCTTACCTTGTCCGGTGTAGCTTTGTGGAGTGAGTCACAAGATGGAAAATTAGTATTAATCTTAGCTCTAAGCATCAGTCACTCCACCAGTTGAGGAGTATGTGTTGTTTTCTCGTAAATGTAATAAGGTGATTTTGGAAACATAAGACACTGAACATCAAAATCATCTCTCCTACTCATGGTATTACCTTACCTGGCTGTTCCTAGAACATAACCCTCATTAAAATAGAGATTAAATGAGATCATAAATCTCATTAAAATAGAGATTTAACGTTAGAGTCATTTGTACACAGTTGAGCAAGCACTGCCGTTCAAATCTGTGATATTTAGACAGACCAGGAACTACTGACTATGAAAAATCTCACCGTGGGATTTAAGATTTTTAATACTGTAAAACTCTACTTCGAAACTGGCAATGTGTCATTTAGCATCACCTCTGATCAAAGATTTTGGTGAAAATGGTGATGCTGGGCAGCCAAGTGATGGGACTGGGGAGTGTCTGTGTGTGGTGGTTCAGTTTAAAGCACTGGCTCATTGCACAAAACAGTTTGCTAATGAAGCAGTGAGATATGAGTAACAAAAAAGGAGAGAACCCAGTTAGGATTGTAAAGCCTTGCTTCTCTTTGAACAGCAGCTAGCCAGAACTCTTCCAAATATTTGGTTTAGAAAGGTGTTTGCTTTTAGAATCATATCCACATTTGTGGGCTTGGACCTTAATGGATTACATCGGAGTATTTTGGCAATGAAAGTGTGTTTGTAAGAGTCTGTACTGTGTCACTTGTGAAGAAAAATGACCAATGTGGGATATTACTGACAATCATGGCAGTCCTCCTCCAGCCTGAAATAAAAATTTAAGGAAGCAGTAGTGGCAGCCAGCAGTCGTGCGGGCCGCACTTACGACACCGGATTAGCACCTGTGCGTTACAAGGCAATAGGACAGGTCGTTTTTCAAAATGGGAAATTGTGATAAAAGCTCATAATAGGGGAATTTTGTGAACAGAGGGAATGTATCAATTCACCTTGTAGCACCAGCCTTAGGCTCTTTGTAATGTTATTGTAAAAAATCTAATAAACTGTTATGTGGTAACGAATAGTCATATATATTACAGCAAAATCATGGTGTATAAGATTGTAGTTCCAAGTTGTAGAAAGACTTTAGCACAGCTCCTGCTCGTAGAATAGAGGTGTGTTCTGTGTAGCTAATGGTGAGCATGATTCCTGCCTTGTCACACCTGGATTTTACGAGGTAATTATAGACCAAATTCACAGGAAGTGTATTGAAGTGGAGGAGCGTTTTGTATGGTGTTCATAGCTATAAATTCTCGTCTGGCTGCCCTCCTCCTGTGGCAGAAATGGTCCTTCTGGAATTTGCTGGCACTGTCCTGTGTAGGGCAGTAGCAGGCCTGCTTTCCTGGAGGTCATTGTGTCAGAGGAACTTACTGGGAAATTGTTTCAGCTTTGAGAAGCGAGGTTCTTCAAACCTTGGAAAGATTCTGAACGCTTTTCAGTAGGGATAGTTTTCCGTCGTAAATTTTACACATAACCGATTTTGAAAAGTAACAATTCAGTTCAAAACAAGCCTTTCAGGCAGGAAGGTATGACTTGTAGCTCTTTAAATCCTGCATCTTTTTGAGAAATATGTTTTATTATGTTATATAAACAGCACGTGCAAGCCAAAGTAGGATCCATTTTGGCCACAATTTCCTAAAGTGCAGTTAATTTAATGCACAAAGCAAAGCAGAAGGTGACTGTTCCTGTTAACTTTGTATGAGTTTGATAACACTTAACAAAATAACAGCATCCTGGGTTTTTTTTTATGCTGGTTCACATCTTATCTGACAAATATTTGTCCTTTCCACTGGGCTGCCTCACTTGGAAAGGAAAAAAAAGTCTGAGGCTCAAGCTCTTGAATAGGGACTGGAGTCTGAAGAAAGCTGTTCCATGTGTTTATTTAAGTCAAGCTGTGTAGTGCTGTGATTTGTTTAGGACCATCCTTTGAGACTGCAGCTTGTGGTTTTTTAGTTATTTATCTCTATGCTAAAGTCTATATAAGCAATTTCTGCTTTTAAGAGAAATTTTCTGCTACCTGCCATCGTGGTAACACACACTTGCATTTTATGGTTGATGTGTTTTCCTCCTGCAGTTTTTTTTCACAGTTACAGATTAACCACACCCTACTCTGAGTTCCTTGTGCAAGCAGGTGTGGTGGGTGCTGCGTTTTCCAGTTTGCAGTTCAAACTGGCCACCCCCCCCTGCCATTATTCTCAGGCACAGCAGACCCGTGCTGTGGCATCAAACTGGTCTGCTCTGCCTGTGCGAGTGAGCATGGGCATCTGCTCCCCTCCTGCCTGCCTGTAGAGGGGAAAAGGGTTTCTGGTGTAACGTGCCATCTAGGAGGGTGTGGGAGAGATGGAAAATGCACTCCCTTGAGCTTGCCACTCCATTCTGTCCTGTCCCAGCCCAAGCGGCAAGTAAGGGGCTGGCAAAGCTGCTGTTCCTAAGCCAGCACGAGGTGTGGAATTGCACAGAACGAGCCTGTGGGTCCTGCCAGCTGAAGACCACTGGGCAACAGAAATAAATTTGAAACCTCGGTCTTGTCTCGTCTGGTTTCTTTATCTTTATAGCAGGGATGATTCTCAGTACAGAGGAACAGTGTTATGATAAATCCATGCTTTGAAACTCAGGCCCGCTGATAAGTGACCCAGAGTTACAGTTTTTAAGAGGATTTTGCGTTTAATCTCTGCCCTAAAGACAACACACGGTAAATAAGACTGGACACAGTTAGCTCTTCAACTGGTACCGTCTGGTCCGCGCCCTCAGTGAAGCTGGTTACAGGCCAGAGAGACACTGAGCTGTGACACTCGCTGTCGCAAGAGCCAGTTTGGAAACCCTCCTTTCCCTGGTTGAACCGGGTCTCCCCGATGCCTGGCAGAACCCTTGCCTGCCTGCTGCCTGCTTTGGGACGAGCTCCTGAGAAGTTACTTGGACGTCATCTTGCAGTTCTCGCAGTGTCTTGTAGGCAGAGGAGACAGGGAACGTTGGTGCAAATTTGTGTTATCTGGCCTGCTCTTGACTCGCCATCTCAACACTCCCGATAAAGTGCTCGTGGTTCCTTTCCTTAGGTGCAACAAGGCACAGAGAATTGGTTTGCCTGAGATTACTGTGGAAACAGGTAGAAGACCTAACCCGCCTGTCTTCCAGACCCTGGGGAATGCTGAAATCCCCCACGGGTTCTTCCTCCGAACTTGAAAGCTCCCAAAATTCATTCCTTCACATTGTAAACACATTTGACGCTGTGCCTTCAAAAAGAGAATACTTTTGATTCTGTATGGTTTTGCTGTGAAACTCCTGTAACCAAGGCCAGAGATGCTCTCCATCCTCTCTAAAGTTCCATCTGTAGTTTTCCTGGAGATATTCACACAGGATTCTTTAATGAAGATCTTCACTTTTCCTCAGGATTATAACTTTCTAGCAGATAGTGCCTTCTAGTGGGCACACTCTCACTGACAGGAGCACCAACTACGCAGATGAATTATTTGATTACCTTTAATGTACAAGTTCGGACATTAGGACTTTAATGAGCCACACGCTGTTTTGAAATGTGGTTATTGCACAAGACATGAGGCTTTGTTTACAATTAAGAAAATTAATAGGATGCACAAATCCCTTCCTCGGCTTTGAGCCTCACTGATGCTCACTGAGATTCCTTTTCTGACTCTAATGTAGAGTTAATGAAATTGGGTCATTAGGAAAATAAAACATGGGAGTAGAGACTTTACGTCATATGAGCACTCCAAGATAAGAATGGTTAAACAGGTGTTGTCGCTCTGAAAAGTGGACATGTATTACAGAAAATGTTCTTTTCTGTCATTTTACTACAGACCTGACATTTTTATTTACAACGTTCTTGTAGTTAGATACATTTGTAAAAACGTCTTCAGTTTACAAAGCTGTAGAATATACAATCCTTGCTCAAGAGATTAATTCCTGTTTGAAATAGCAACGGGAAAAGCGATGGAATTAAGTGTTTCTCAAGTCTCAGAAGCACGGGTGTTAATACAAGTCTGGACAAAGGCCCGTGGCCCTTTTGTGCAAGTCCCCATACAGATGTGGAAGGTAGAGCAAAATAATCTATCCTTTTCAGGGCAAAACGGAGAAAACAGGCAAGGAGCGACCTGAAAAGAGGAGGCAAAAAGAGATGAGACAAATTACTTAAGGCTTTGTCCAGTTCTGGAGTCCCCAGCATAAGAAGGACATGGACCAGTTGGAGAGGGTCCAGAGGAGGGCCACGAAGATGATAAGAGGGCTGGAGCACCTTTCCTATGAGGACAGGCTGAAAGAGTTGGGGCTGTTCAGCCTGGAGAAGAGGAGGCTCCGGAGTGACCTTATAGCGGTCTTCCAGTACCTCAAGGGGGCCTACAACAAAGATGGGGGAGGCTGTTCAGGAGGGCCAGTTGTGATAGGACAAGGGGTAATGGTTTTAAAATAGAAGGAGGTAGATTCAGGTTGGATATTAGGAAAAAATTTTTTACCATGAGAGTTGTAGAACACTGGAACAGGTTGCCCAGAGAGGTGGTGGATGCTCCATCCCTGGAGACGTTCAAGGCCAGGTTGGATGAGGCCCTGAGCAACCTGATCTAGTTGGAGATATCCCTGTTCCTTGCAGAGGGGTTGGACTAGATGACCTTTGAAGGTCCCTTCCAGCCCTAACCATTCTATGATTCACAGCAGATTAGTGGCTGAGCCGGGCCTTAAATTTAAATGTTTCTTAAGCAACCTGCAAAAAACGCTTGAGACAGACTATGGAGCACCTGCTTGTCTCCCAAAAGAGGGAGGCAGGCAGGTGTACTTGCGAAATAAGGGTCTGCTCCTTGGCATCAGAATGTTCTAAAGAGTT